TCTCGCAAGTTAAGAAAATGTCATCCTCAAGAAGAGCAAGATGATGATTATTTTGAGAATGAGGAGACAAATATGGATCACGTTGGAGCTCCCATCCGTCTAAAAAATAATTCAGGGTATGTTTATAAAAGGAAAGCGCCAGCAATTGTAAGATTTCCTTCCTTTAAAGTAAATACAAATAGGGACGATTATTTCCGATCTTTGGTTATGTTGTATTTACCATGGAGAAACGAAGTCGAAGAATTGTTAGAAAATGACAACGAAAATACCTGTATGGTTCATAAACGCACGATTGAAGAGAATCAATTGCAATTTGATTTATTTAAAGAAGGCGAACTTGACGAGATCTTGCTACAAGTACAAGATGACAATAACGCCATTATTAATGATGCAATTGATAACACAATAGCGTCTCAAATGCTTGATGACGAGTTCCGTGCATTGGCAATACCCGAGATTGATAACAATATAAATATTTTTGACGTTGAGAATAATAACGGTAGTGAATCTAACGATGACATACGATTCATAAAGTTACCTCCAATAGTAAGCGAAGAGGAGCTTCTATTAAATATCAGAACACTTAATGTTAAACAGCGTGCATATGTGCATCATATTTTGCAAAATGTTGTTGAAAAGAAAACTTTTTATGAATACGTTGGAGGTGGGGCTGGCGTCGGCAAAAGCCGTTTAATTAAAGCCATATACCAGTCTATTACTCATAGGCTCAATAATATACCTGGTAGTAATCCCGATTTACCAAAAGTTTTGCTGACGGCACCAACCGGAAAAGCTGCATTCGGAATTGGAGGATCTACTTTGCATGCTCTTTTCTCCCTTCCAATCAATCAATTTTCGGGCGAATTGCGGCCACTGAGCAGCGACAGTGTGAACTCCATACTTGCAAAATTGATTAATGTGAATGTGATCATTATTGATGAAATATCAATGGTCGGATCAAGAATGCTAGGCTATCTTGATGCACGCCTGAAACAGATATTTAAGAATACAAATCCATTTGGTGGTATTTCAATAATTGCCTTCGGTGATTTAAAACAACTTCCACCCGTTGGCGATCGATGGATTTTTAGTTCTAACTCTTCAAACCCTTATGGGCTTATTGTAGGTTCCCAGTTATGGGATCTTTTCAATTTTTATGAATTGACAGAAATAATGCGTCAAAGGGAAGATTTAAGTTTTGCATTAGCACTTAATAGAATGTCCAACGGTGAAATGACAAATGAAGACATTGATATTTTCAAATCAAGAATTGTACAGAGTATAAATGAAGTTCCACCAGATGCTATTCATTTGTTCATGTCCAACGATGAAGCCGAACATTATAATACACTAAAACTAAATCAATTGCCTACCGAAGCATTTACTTCTAAAGCATACGACATTGTCAAAAGCAACACTTTGCAACCTGAACAAAGAGCAAATATACTCAACAATATCAAAAAGCTGAAAACATCTGAAACACAAGGTCTTCCTTTAGAACTTCGATTGAAGCAATCAGCTAAATATATGATAACCATCAATATCAACACAGCGGATGGTTTGGTTAATGGCGCTACTGGAGTTTTAATGGATATTGATTTTGAAAGAGGAACCTCAAACCCAAGAACTCTTTGGTTAATGTTTTCAGACGAAAATGTCGGAAGAGATGCACGTAGACGAAATCCCCATTCAAGAGAATCGCTTTGGACTCCTATTGAAATGTGTATTAGATCATTTCAATTCAAAAGAAATGATCAAATCTGCATTGATCGTCGCCAGTTCCCATTGGTTGTTGCAGAGGGTATCACAATTCACAAGAGTCAAGGCGCTACATACGAGAAAGTTGGAGTACACACTCGCAAAAATATGTCCAGAGCAGCTCTTTATGTCGCCTGCAGTAGAGCAACAAATGCATCAGGTTTGTACATCATTGGAACATTTAATCCTCCCAAACCTTTCCAGAATGGTGACCCAGTCAAATTAGAATTACAGAAGTTATCCAATACAAAAAGATTAAAATTGCAATATGATTTCCTAACTTCTAATGAAATCGGAATTAAAATTTTTTACCAAAATATTCAGAGTTTTCGAGCTCATAAAGACGATATTATTTCTGATTTCGCAATTATGAACAGCAATTTTATTTGTCTAGTTGAGACATGGACTTTACCCGAAGAAACATGTTGTATCCCGGGATTTGCAGAAATAAGTAGAATTGACTGTGTTGAAGAAGGCCTATGTAGGGATAGAAATAAAAGGGGGATTCTAATTTTTTCACGATCAGAAATAGCAAAAGACGTTAGAATCCTAATAAAAGAAGACCATACGCAAGGATCTAAAACAATGCAGTGTATTGCTATAAAGTATAAAGATATATGTTTAGTGGTCGTTTATAGGAATCCATCTTTTTCGGAAACTTCTTTTCGGCAAATTTTATGTGACACTATTGATGGACTTATACAACAATCTAATAACAAAATGTTGATCGTTGGAGACTTTAAAACATATGTAGACGAACCTCTCGGAATTTAGCGGAGGTAATGCTTACTGGAAAGGGGCTAATACCGCTTTTAAATAAAGATTGTAGTACAACTAAGCATGGAACTCACATAGATTGGGCATTTACTAATATAATGTCTGATCGGAGTATTTGCAAAAGTTATTGTACCATACATAGCCATCATGATGGAATAGTTGTAGGACTTTAACACTAACCATACGGAGAAAATTAACATTCTATATATATGAACTTAAGTAAGTTTATTATATAAATTATCTACATAAAGATAATATATTATATAAATTATATATATATATATATATATATAGATGTATACATATATTTTAATATAATTAAATTATAATGTTTACAACTTATATCATTCAAATAATTATCCATAGCATCGTATATATTTTTATGCTTGATCATAAATTAATGAATATGCGAACTGTGGCACTTTCCGATATGATTCAATATACTGAAATATATTGAAATGCATTTCAATAATAATGGATTATGTTAATTGGGCCATTTTATATAAACTAAAATGGTATTCCAAAGTTAACATATTCTACTCCCCTTAGGAATAAGCCTTGACGTGGCGGGGGAGCTGAGTACTTTCAAAACTGAAAGGAAACTAATTATTCCATTATATTTTAAAAGAAAAGAGGGTAAGAAAGCTTCAGCCCTACTCCCCCTAGGAATAAGCCGTGACGTGGCGGGGGAGCTGAGTACTTTCACAACTGAAAGGAAACCAATTATTCCATTAGAAGAAATGACCGTATAAAAGTTAAGCCCTAATCCCACATAGATCCTATACAACGGTAGTTTAGTAAATAGGCGGACCAATAATTAAAAAAAAATATTGTCTAGGCCCACATAACGTTCCCTCCAACCTTCTTTATTGTATGTTGTATATTTTTTTGTGCCTTTGTTACATTTATTATACCAAAACATTCGACGCAGTGTATTCTAGCTTTATTGGAGAAATATATATATATGGTGGAGGGTATCCATATCGGGTTTTATACCCATCAGTATATATATGGTGGAGGGTATCCAAAGTTCGGCCCGGCCGAACTTAACGCTTTTTCACTTCTTTGTATTAAAATAGTTATCTGATTTGTTCCGCGTTTTGGGTTTGGTTCTAAGACTCTGTTGTAATCATTTCACCTGCGGAGGATAGAGAGATAAACAATTAGAACGTAAGGTTCGATAATGAACTATAGCCGCATTTAGACCTAGCCCCTGATTGGAAGTTCCAGAATTTGAACCAATCTTGGAAGAAATAATAAGATGGGCAAAGTTCGGATGAAATATATATATATTCTGAGACGAATTTGGTCCAAAGAAACATGGGGTCTAGAACCAATATTTCGATGAGGCACATATTCACCGTGTTGAAGTGTATACACCCTCATTAGCATCCAAAGTTCGGCCCGGCCGAACTTACCGCTTTGCACTTGTTAAAAACGTCATGAATGGCGCCCAACATTAAGAATGCACTTTGGAAGTTGACGATATTCTTTAAATCAACATGTTACGCCATGGATCTAGAAAAACCAAAATAACAGTACTGATTTCAGTAAAGAACTCCGCAAACGGGCAATCCGTCGGAAAGCTTATGACAAAAAATTCTGATCTCCAAGTACCGTAAAAGTTTGGGGTCGCTTTCGTCGTTAAGTGTTTAAAAAAATACAAAAATATTGGACTTCAGAGACTTTCGATTTAAAATACTGTTTCCTAATATTATGTTAAAATCGCAAACATCTTTTAAAATTTCATTAAGAATTTATTTAACTTCTATTTGCATTTTTTCAAAGAACATTTCCTGCCTCAATTTTAATTTTCCGGGCATGGATTGGTCCAATTCCATTCGTCCCACCAAACACATTCACCCTCCTCGGCATCGAAGAGTTGAGCTTCAGGACAGTGAATCATTTTAGCATTACCATCAGCTGATTCACACAGCCAATAACCGGTGGGATCCCAAAAATTGCGAATGGGTAAATCTATATTGCGGCTATTACATGTCGGTTTATTGTTCTCATTGGGATTGCAGGCCAAGGCAAAGGCACACATGGCAGCCAATAAAGTTAAGCAGATGACTAGAGGGGAAACAAATATATATATTTTTTATTTTGTTATTAAATCTTAGAAAATAATTGAAACACTTACCGAATTTCATGTTGATGCCTGCAAACTATTCGAATGAAGATTGTGTCTCTGTCTACCTCTTGTCCCAATATTTATACTCCCTGAGTAGTAATTTTTGGCGAATTGTTTTAATTGGTTAAATTAATTGATTTGACCGAAAAAATGATGACCAACCTCAAAATTTGTAATTGATAAGATTTCCCTTGAAAGCCAACGCCCCGAAAATTGTCAACTATGCACACATGCTGAATTGCAAAATATTTTCATGGTAGGTGATTAATTTGATTTTTTTAATTATACGCATTGATGACACGTACCAGGTTTTCTGGCATCAATTGTGCTACGATGGGGCCTAATTTTTTCCCATTTCTTGGCAACCACTTCTTGGCAAATCATTAAAAAATGATTCACTAAAGATTCTAAAAACTGTTTCAAAAACTCATAAGTCCAGTCCTAATGTCGGGCGCCATCAGAGATTAATTTATATTAATTTCAGTACGTTCAAAACTGATTTTCAAAGATTTCCACGAAATTTAACACACATCGTTCCGGACTCACTTCAGTACGCTATGCCAAATTTCGTGCAAATCGAAGGATATATAGGGACTTTGGTGCACCATTTACATAAAATCGGACGAAAATATATATGGGAGCTATATCTAAATTTGAACAGATTTTCACGAAATTTAAAACACATCATTCTAGACTCAATTCATATGTCAAATTTCGTGCAAATTGAAGGATATATAGGGACTTTGGTGCACCATTTACATAAAAGCGGACGAAAATGTATATGGCGGCTATATCTGAATCTGAAACGATTTTCGGGTTCGTCCTTGGATCAATCAAGTGACCTGTGCCAAATTTCATCCAAATCGGATCATAAATGCGACCTGTACTTTGTTAACAAAAATACATGGACGGACGGACAGACGGGCATGCACAAATCGACTCAGAAAGTGATTCTATGCTTATTCTCAAAAGGAACCATAGGTCTATCTCGATTATTTTTGCCTGTTACAAACATATGCACTAAGACATAATACCCTGTACCACAGTGTGGTGAAGGGTATAAAATGGAAAGACCTGTCTCCATTTATCACGCTTCTGTTCTGTTTTCTTCCTATCTAAATTTTCTTCAATAATCAGAAAACTGTTCTCAAAATCTCCCTTCGATTTTTCAGAAAAATTATTTCGTTGTCATATTCCGCCAACCAAAAGTTTACCTTTAACATAATCTTCTTCATTCCCATGTTCAGTTAGCATATACATGAAAAATTATTTTATGTTCTATTCAAAAAATTTTGCTTGCATCTAAACGTTTTCAATACCGGACTAGTTGAGTTCTTCATCAAGTCCATTTTCAAATAGGAGGAGATCTTTATATATACTTCTTATTAGAAATAAACACTTTCGCACTTTTCTTCTTGAATCTGAAAATGTTCTATAACGAATAAGTAAGGTCAACATGGATATATCGTAAGCTGAATGTAATTAATATTCGCCAAAGGGTATGCTACATTATTTTAGATAGTATTTGAAGGAATTAAGTTGAATTATGAATCTAAAAGTTTTGTATTAGTAAGGTAAATTATGTTCTTCATCAGTAGGCAAACATGGATACGTCATAATCTTATTGCAATAAATATTCCTTGGCAACTACAAAAAACCAAATTTTATATTTAGTTCCACTCGAATAATATAAGCCTTCTATTTCCTTAAAAAAACTTTTTCACACTTTACACCACTGGACGTTTTCTACACCGGATTAGTAGGGTAAACATGGATACGTAATGAACTAAATCCTATAGATATTCCATGCCGCAATGTAGACTACATTATTATAGGTAGTATTTGAAGCTTATATAAAAAAAGTTGAATTTGAATATTCTCTATACAAAGTTACTAGACTAAATCCTGTTCTTCGTCATGTTCATTTTTAAATTTTCTATACCGAATAAGTAGGATAAACATGGATATGTCATAAGCTAAATGTAATTAATATTCGCCGCAGAGTATGCTACATTATTTTAGATAATATTTAATGCTGACATGAAAGAGTTAAATTGAATTACGAATCTGAAAGTTTCGTATTAGTAAGGTAAATCATGTTCTTCATCAGTAGGATAAACATGGATATGTCAAAATCTAAATGCAATTAATAATCGTTGCCACATACAAAAAACTAAACTTTAAATAAATGAGTTTTACTCGATTTATACTAGCCTTCTATTTCCTTAAAAAGCTTTTCCACACTATTCACCACTGAACGTTTTCTACACCGGATTAGTAGGGTAAACATGGATACGTCAC